ATCCTTTCTTCCAGCATCTGAGTTTAGGCCAGTTAGGCCAAGACAAGTTCCTCTGCTTTTGTGATGCAGATGCAGGCCCAGGGCCAAGGATAGAGGAAAGAGGAGGAGAAGAAAACTTAGCACAAAAGGCTGAGACAATTTACATAATAATAAGGTAAGGGTGCAGAGTGGGGAAGGAGGCAGGACAAGGGGTGGAAGGGGAGGTAGAAAAGGAGATAGAGAAGGAAGGTGAAGGACAGGGAGAAAGAGGGAAGAGGACTGGGAGAAAAAGGAAAGAGGGCACATGGAGGGAGGGAGAAAGTGAAAGTGAGGAAGAAATGCAGAAAGGGAGAGAGGGAAAGGCAGAGAAGGAATCCCTTTTAGACAGGGAGGAGAAGAGAGGAAAAAATGGGGGAAGCGTTTGCAGGCTGGGAATAGAGGAGAGGGTCTCGGGAATCCGAGTATCTCCAGAAAGTGGGGATGAGACACTGGAGGAAGACAGGAAGAAACACATAAGAAAAGCAGTGGAAGTTGTTTTTGGGTACTTTTTCATATTCTTAGAGACACTCAGGATAAAGAATGAGATTCTGTAGTAATTTGTTTTGCATAGTTATATTGGGCCTATTTAATTGAAACTCTGCTCTGGACCCGAACCACAGGGATTATTTTTTCTTTCTTTCTTTCTTTCTTTCTTTCTTTCTTTCTTTCTTTCTTTCTTTCTTTCTTTCTTTCTTTCTTTCTTTCCTTTTCCAGGGTTAATCTATGCTGTACAAATATATTTTGTACTGCCCCACCCTGGAAAAGTCACTTAGTTTCTCTGTGCATCACTTTTTTCACTTAATAAAACGGGGATAAAAGGGTCAGTAGGTGGTGTAAAGGTTAAGGCAGCTGGATCCCATGTGGCCTACTGCGAAGTTTGAGTCCTGAACCCAGTGCTGGAAAGCACCTGAGTGCTTGTGTGTGTGTGCTGTATGTGCATGCCCATGCGTGCCCCAAAATTCCTAGAGGAAAATGGAGAAGGAACTGTGGCATGGCCATTCCCTCTAGGGAGTGATTTCTCACTTTCCCCTTCTCTCTGTCTCAGGAGTGCAAGCGACATACCCTATAGCAAAAATTTAAGTAAAAGAAAAAAAAAATAGAAATTACAGTGGCACCCATTGCACAGGTAGCTATAAGGATTAAGTACTTAAACGTTGTAATGTAAACTGTTTAAAACAGACCCTGGAACATAAAAATTGAAAGCCTCTGATGTCCTGAAGCCATTCTTTGTCAGAGCGTCTGTTCTCTGAATCCACCTACTTGCCCATCACTCCCTCCTAGAAACCCAGAGGTTTGAAAGCAGGCTCAGCACATTTGGCTCAGGCCAGCCCCTCCTGACTTCTGCCTGAGGTTTCCCCTTTCCCCCACTCATTCTGGTGTCTGGTAATACTTGACTCCACTTTCTTGATCCTTATCCTTCTGCCCTAATCACCAATTAGTCACCAGGCCCTTCTACTTCTCTGGAGAGTAGGCTTCACTTGGTTGCCCGTCCTTCCCGATCTCTCCCTAGCTCCTTGGACTTCTAGAGTGATCTGCTGCCATGGCTTCCTAACTGGCCTCCCCACCTTCAGGCTCTCCTCAGAATAGCCCACGTTGCATGTGCTGTCACAATCATTTCCAAAAATCTCACTTTCATCCTATCCCATCCCATCCCTCCCTAGCTCAGAATTTACTGCCAATAGGATAAAACCCACACTTCTTGGCATGCCTTCCAAGGCCCACCAAATCTGAATCTGATGGTATCTTCCAACTCTCTCACACTTTGTGCTTACCTAGATCTGCTGTTCTGGCCACTGGTACCTTCTACGAACCACATCGCTTTGGGTAATTACCAACCACTGCTTTTACTTAGGTGCTTTCCCACGTTGTGCACCTTTCTTCACCCACAACTGCACCTGTCAAACCAAGCCTAGGCTTCAAGGACAATTCTGGTCTCACTTTCTCTAAGAAGCTTTCCCTGACCACCTATGGAAAGTCTGTGAGCCCCATCTTCCTAAAAGGTGACCAGCTCCTTAAAGACCCCAACCCACATGCCTTTCAATCTTTACATATACACAATCAACAGCTGTTCATTTGGTGATGAAACTATAGGTCTATAGATTCCTTTCTCTCATTTTTTTTTCCTTCTGAAAATTGGGAAAATTAAAAATGCTGTTCTATTCAAGGAATGTTTTTTAGAAGAACTTACTATTTGCCGAGCACTGTGCTGGCTGTTGGAGTGAGGAGGAGACTCAATCATCAATGACACAGGCTTTCATCAGAAAGACCTTCCATTATGAAGGGTTCCTATTCTAGGCTCCATTTGTGGACTTTACTGGGGTCCAGAACCTCTTCAAATATGTGCAAAATTTCCTAGACATGTTCATGTATGCCTTGCTCAGGAGAGAGGCTCACAGCTTTCATTACCTGTTCAAAGGGATTTTGACCACCCTCAAGTGCAAGGCTCACTGTTTAAGGAGGGAGACAGCCACACACAACCAGTCTTCATAACAGGACAAGATGGGAGATAAAAGCTAATGGAGAAAGCACTGAGCTGGCTTTCTCTGTTGGGGGAATAAAAAGAGGGGCTTTGTGGCAGAGTTGGAGCTGAGCTGGTCCTTTCTGAATGGCAACAGTTCCATAAGGGAGAGAAGGGGAGCAGGGCACCGGAGGCAAAGAGCTTGGCCTGAGCAAAGGCATGGAGGCATGACTGTGCCTAGTGTCTCTGGGAAGCGTCTGTAGTCTGGTGAGGCTGGGGCATGAGGTGTAGAGCCACAGATTGATAAGACAGAGTCCCTGCTGTTTGCCCCTGTGGAGGCTCTTACAGCCTCAAGTGAGTTCATACCACAGAGAGTTGGAGCAGGAAACCAGTGAGGCCTTCTGTGGAGGGGACAGGGCAGGTGGGAGTCAGCTGTCAGGAGGTGGCAGGAACACTTGTTCTAGGGGTTAAAGCTGAGGTATATCAAGGAGGCCTTCTGATGTTTTCTGAGAGTACATAGCTGGCTGGCCCAGGCAGGTTCTGGGCTGGGTGTAGGGTTGTTTCTCTAGACATCCTATGATGGGTGGGGAGGGAGGCAGAGTGGGGAAAACAAGTGAGGGAAGGAGGTCTTTTCTTGAAGGACAAAAACACCAATCTGAGTCTCTGCTGCATGGGCAGTTCCCATAACATCCAAATGGTAGCTCCCTGGGTGGGCAGCCCCTGAGAGAGTTGGAGATCCAAAAGTTGTTTGGGAGATAAGCATGGCAGTGAACACACATGCTCTTAGAAGGTCTCACACACACTCTCAGAAGGTCTTGCACACCATATGCGTACGAGTGTACAGGTATGTCTGTCACCTGGTGAACTAAGATTCGGGTACCACACTCTCCTCAGCCAAAGGCAGACAAAGACCAAAGGCCTGTGGCTCATGTCATGTGTGAGGATCAGATCAGGTATTACCTGCCCTGGTTTTAATGCCTGAGTTAATTAAAATGAGTTAATACTTGTAAAGACTTAACACAGTGTCTGGCAGTGTGTAGGTGCTTCATAAATAATAGCTATCTTATGCTATTATTATTTAGATGAGCAAAGCACTGTGCTCAACAGGGCTAATTCTAATGATCTCAGTAGGTATTTTCTGAGTGTCTGTGTTCTCTGGACACTGTGCTCATTCCCCATCCCCAGCACCCAGTACCTGCATGTTGTAAACAGGCAATGATTACTTAATAGAAACAAACTGAAGAATTAACAATACCCCTTCTTCCCCTTCCCTCTAGTCCTGGGTCCTGGCTCTATGGCCAAAGCCAAAGCCAAAGCCAAAGCCAGTCTCCTGGAGCTGAAGTACTTCCTCTAGACCCAGCTTCTTGACTTGGCATCCTGGAGGAGCAACCAGATGGGCCCAGGCACCCCTGCCAAGCTCCTGGATTCCCCACCCCAGGCTGGCCTCTGACAACGAATTCCTTGGTACCTGCAGGAGCTGATGCCTGAGCCAGAATGACTCTGCCCATGGAATCAGGATTTTGTGCATAAAATGAAATTTTACATTTAAAGCTCTCTATCACAGATGATGTATCAGATCAAGAGAAGGCCAGGATAGTTTTCTACTGTGATAGATGATTTTTACCAAAGACAGCATGTGTGTATAATGCACAATCAAATCACACAGTCATCAGTGATTTGTGCTCTCTCTCTAGAGGCTCCAAGGAAGGGCCAGTTATTTAGAGGCCTCCACTCGCTCCCCTTTTTTTCTGGACTCCAGGTCCCAGAAAGAGGATCACTGGGATTTATGATCCTAACAGAGGATCAAGAGCTGTTCCTGGATAGAATTCTCTCAGGCTGTTTCCTCCTCCCCATCTCTCCCTCTTTCCTTTTATTTAGCTTTGCTAGTGTAGGGCATATAATGCAGTCTTACAGTTCATGCAAATGTTAGCAAACAAGACATTTTTATATACATACTCCATTCACCACTTATCAGACACCTGGAAACTGAGCTGAAAAACAGTCCCTGTTCTTGGATATTGATTTCCTAGAGGAAGGAGTGTCCCTTAGGTCTTCAGACCCAGGAGAGGCAGAAAAACATAGCCTTTGGAGTTAAGGAGGAAAGAGAGTTCATTCAAGTTGGTGCCCTCCACTCCCAACAAAGCAAGGAAAGTTCTTTGAAGGAGAGAAGGTTCTGTTTAATTATTATTTCTTCTGTTCAAGTTAGTTGTCCAAGGGTAGGTACTTACAGCATAATATGGCAATTCCAATTTAGAACAGTCAGTCATCAATACTTTCCTATCTCTAAAATAAACCTTGGAATTCTGGGGTTATTGCATTTATTGGTAACTTTTCTAAGGGGGTCTGCCCATGAGGGTAGTGGTTTATTTGCCAGGTGGACTGGTGCAATGGCTGATGTTGGTGACTGTGCCACTGTATTTCTCTCACATATAGCTCATTTCGTCTAGTTCTTTAAGGAAGTCTGGCATTACAAAGAGGAAGCAATGGGGTAAAAAAGTCTGTGCCCATGGGCTCAGGGACCTACCTTTCTCTCCTTGTCACCATACTCGATGCCCAAAGTGTCCATGGCCCGGACAATGGCTGCCAGGGACTGGATAGTGTTGCTGTAGACAACAGGCTTGTATTGTTTCACGTCTTCTCCAGAGAAACCATCTTCATGGATGATCCTAGAGAAAAAGCACACACATCACACATGTTGAGTACATTGACCTTACTCAACATAGACACCACTGGGCAGGTGAAGTCCTAGGCCCAAGTCCCTGGGTTAGCTGGCTGAAGGAGAGGTCCAACTGGGATGCTAAATTACTCAGTGCTGCATTAATGCCATAAAATGTGAAGGAAAAATCTACCTGAATTACTAAAAACTAATCTAAAAAACAGAATATTGCAAAGAGAAATGCAGTCTTCCCGCAGTTAGTGAGGTGTTGATGATACTCAAAACCACTTAGGACAGGAGGGGCACATACTAAGCCCTCAGTAAATATTATTAGCCATTAGTATTTTAAGCAAAGGTCAGGGTCACAACTTCTTGCATTTTTCTTTCACAGAAAACTTACAGAGCGTTTAACGAAGGTAGGATAACACACTTAAAATAAAAAATAACCATCTTCAACTCTGACAACAGAAAGTTCAACAAGAAGAGTGTGCCTACTCTTCCACCCTTGGTGGTGATTTATCCGCCATGTCACCCTTAATCTGGTGGAGCCAAACAGTGACGTGGAGGATACAAAGGGGAAGAACACTATTCTAAAAGGCCTCATGATACTCCCTGGCAGCCAGTTAGTACAGCTTATTGGCAACAAGGATCTGGAAAGGAGAGATGGCTACAGAGAGGAGATCATACCAAAAGTTTTGAAGATTCTTTTTAGACTTGAAGTAATCAAGAAAGAGCACAAGAATTTTAAGGCTGAAATCTAATATTCATATCAAAGCAATAACTGAGAACTTCCTTTTGCTTCACCATAGCCCCTTCCTATTCCTTCATTATCTTTTTTTAAAAAAGAATCATTTTATTTAACTTTATTTATTTATTTTAATTTGACCAGAGAGAGAAAGAGAGAGACAGACAGAGAGAGAGAAAGCAAGCTGCCGGGTCCAGGACTTGAACTGTGGTCAGCCATGTGGGAGTCCAGTGCCTTTAACCACCATGCCACCTGCCAGCCCTTCATTTTTTTTTTTTATTACAGAAGATTTCTAACAATTCCTCCTTTTTTTAAAAAAAAAAGAATTATTTATTTAATTAATTTATTTGTTTAAATTTGACCAGAGAGGGACAGAGTAAGAGTGAGAAAGAGAAGAGAGACAGAGAGAAAGTGAGAAAGTGAGCGGCCAGGTCCAGGACTCGAACTGCAGTCAGTCATGTGGGAGTCCAGTGCCCTTCACCACCATGTCACCTGCTGGCCCCACAATCCCTCTTTCTTTTCTTTTTTAAAGGAAATCTTTATTAAGATATAATTCACATGCCATACAATCCACTAATTTAAAGTATACAATTCAAAGTTTTTTAGTATATTTAGCTACATCACCACAATCTAAGAACATTTGTGTCCTGGAAAAGGAACCCTGTATCCATTAGCAATCACTTCTCATCCTCCACCCTAACTTCAAGCAACCACGAATCTACGTTCTCTTTCTATAAATTTATCTTTTCTGGACAGTTTATGTAAGTGGAATCATATAATAGTGGTCGTCTGTGTCTGGATTCTTTTACTTAGCATGATGTTTTCAAGATTTATCCATATTGTGACATGAATCAGTAGCTCATTCTTTTTCATTAAGGAATAATATTCCACTGTATGGACACACCCCATTCTATTTATTCGGTCATTAGTTGGTGGGCCCCAACAATTACTATAGCAACATTTGATTTGATGCTGGATTGTGAGTTTTGATCCTAAATTTTACTAAGAAGCAGGTCAAAATGATCCTATTGGCTTTTGTTGACTTTTATTAGCCCTAAGTCCATTTTTGTAAATGTCTCTTGAGGGAGTATAAACTGCTCTAATACCTCAGAGAGAGCTCAAAGGGATTGCAAGCTCCCACTGTAAATAACTAGAAAATTGGCAAAATGTAAGAAACATTGGTTTTCAGACATCAGAGAATAGCCAGTGTAGAACTGCGATCCCTGAGAAAAGGGAAACCAGCAAAGCGGGTCCTGTGATGGTCTGGGCTTTCTACCTGAAGGTATTTACTAGACCACAGTGGAAGGAAGAGAATCCTAAGCAGAACACAGCTATCTTACTGAGCTCAAGAGATAAAGCTCAGAGTCCAGGAAAGCTGAGGTGGCTGAAATTCAAAGTGCAAAATACCACAGAAGAGAACACTGCAGAGAGAAACACGTCAGACATCTGCATAGGGGTCGCATTGAGTCTTGGACTAAACAGGATGAGACTCCACAAACTGGACAGAGGAAGAACATACATCAGGGGAGCTTAGAAACTGACCTTTTCCCAGAGCTGACCAAGGCTGAGAGATGTTCAAATTCTGACCAGCCAGAGTGGAGAGTCCTTGCAGAATGCCTGGGGCATTGGGCAGAGACCCCAGATGCTTGTGTTGTAGCAGAGGATTCAATTAGCCCCTGAATAAAAGCTACTTTAGATCTTCCCTGACAAAACCTAAAAACAAGCCTTGAAAAAAAATCAAGCTGACTCCTATAAGTAAGTTAACTGCGTGATAAAGTGCAAAACTCTTTTTTTTTTTTAAAAAAAAAGAATTATTCCATCCAACCCTATCTAGTCGTTTATTTATTTTAATTTGACTAGAGAAAGACAGAGAGAGAGAGAAACTGAAAAAGCAAACCGCCAGGTCTGGGACTCGAACTGTGGTAGGCCATGTGGGAGTCCAGCACCCTTAATCACCGCACCACCCGCTGGTCCCAAAGTCCAAACCTCTTTAAATAAAGGTGGTATGATCTAGATATTCAACAATATAATATTAATAATATCAACATCCAAAATAAAATTCCAGGATGTACTGAAAAAAAAGAAAACAAAACAGGAAAGTTTGATTCATAACTGGGAGACAAATCAGTTAGTAGAAGCAGATCCAGAAGCGACAGAAATGATGGAAGTAACAAACAAGGATTTTGAAAACATTTATTTTAAACATTTTAAAGAAATTAAAAGAAGCCATGAATTTAATGATGAATGAAGTGGAAGATATAAAGAACAAAATGGAATATCTAGATATGAAAACACAATGATTTGAAATGAAAATTTTAGTAGCTAGGATTAATAGCACATTAGACACACAGATTAGTGAAAAGTAAAGACTAGCAAAAGAAACTATCCAAATGAAGCAGAGAGAAAAAAGGCTTCAAAATGGACCAGCAGATGGCGTAATGGTTACGTTGCTGGACTCCCACGTAGTTGACTGTGGTTAGAGTCTGGAACTGGGTGGCTTAAAACTCATGGTGGTGCATGTGTGCCAAAATCCTGAGAAGAGAATGGAGGAAAGGGATTGCAGAATGGCCATCCTCCCGGGGGGTAACTTCTCGCTTTCTGTCTGTCTTGCTGGCGAGTGCACATGCCCTATATCAAAAATCTCTCTAAATAAATTTAAAAGAAAGGTTGCAAAATGTTTATGATATTTATAACATGTGTAAAAATAAAGCTTCTACAACAATAGCACAAAAGATAGGAGAAATAAAGCGGAAATATACCATAGAAAGATTCCTATATGTGAAAAAAGTAGTATAATATTACTTGAAAGTAAAGTGTGTTAAGTCAAGATACACACTGTACCCTCTCGGCCAGGGGTCCTCAATCCCCAGGCCATGGTCCAACCCGTGGCCTGTTAGGAAACTGACCACACGGCACAAGGTGAGCAGCAGGTGAGCCAGTGAAGTTTTATTTGTATTTGTAGCCACTTCCCATAGTTCACATTACCACCTAAGCTCTGGCTCCTATCAGATCAGCAGTGGCATTGGGTTTTCATAGGCGTGTGAACCCTATTGTGAACTGTGCATGCAAGGGATCTAGACTGTGCACTCCTTATGAGAATCAATGCCAGATGATCTGAGGTGGAGCCGAGGCAGTGATACTTGTTTTGCAGAAGAGCTGCAAATATTGCATTATACTGAGTCGTCTAATTATTTCAGAATATATTACAATGCAATAATAATAGAAATAATGTTCATGATAAATGTTGTAATGCTCTTGAATCATCCCCAAACCTTTCCTCCTGCCTTCCTACTCCCAACCCCCAGTCTATGGAAAAACTGTCTTCCATACAACTGGTCCCTGGTGCCGAAAAGGTTGGGGACTGCTTTTCTAAAACAGCCACTAAAAATCCATGAAAGAAACTGTAACCAGACTTCTGTAAAAGGACGGAAACCTCTGGGGGGCTTGAGAGGTATAAGCAGGATTTGTCAGTCCTCATGAAGCTTCCCCAGAAGCCAGTGTAATGGATGTCTCTTGTTTTAGTTTGGACCAGCAGGTCCTGGCACTTACTCTCCTGGGAGTACACCTGGGATCACCTTCTAGACCCTTGGCTGCCTGTGGGATTTCTTTCCACTTAGGGCTAGGACTATAATTTTTCACACCTATTAGTATCATTAATCTTCACATCTACCTAATGAGGTAGGAAGGGTAGGTTTCTATCTTATTATTTTTAATGCCAGAGAAAGAAAAAGGAGAGAGAGAGAGAGAGAGAGAGAGAGAGAGAGAGAGAAAGCATCACCCAATGGGGCCTGGTCACACTGCGAAATCCCTTTTCCTCTATTTCTCCATCTTGTCAGCATCCTGGGCATACATGCACATACCTAACGCATTGGGCCAGAGTTTGAACTGCACTTGGCCATGTGGGATCTGGCCTCCTCTGTATAATGCATAACCCCTACATTATAGGACCAACCCAGGATAGGTTTTTATGACTTCATTTGACAACAGAGGAAACTGAGGCTGAGTTAGAATATTTGAAAAGAATTGTTTAATTATTTTTTAATTTGCTGTAGGACACATGTGCTCACAAGAGAGAGACATACAGAGAAAGAGAGAAGTGGGAAAGTAAGCTGTCGGGTCTGGGATTTGAACCATAATTGGCCACGTGGGAGTCCAGTGCCTAAACCACCACATCACCTGTTAGCTCCTGAGTTTATAATTTTATATCCTCTCTCACCAAAGCAATAGGTACTCAACACTGGAAAACTTAGACTGTACAGAAAAGC